CAGTACCACCCCTCTAGAAACTCCTCTAGCCATTTCCACCTTTTCTATGCCCATCATCACCCCATAACCTCCTGTATCCACCAAATCCATCCCTAAAAACTCAACAATCTAGTTGGAAATGAAATTGTGGGTTGCCCCACTGTTAATTAAAACCACCACCTCACAGTCAGCTCTCTCTAGGGGTGCAAACGAGTCGAGTCGAGCTCGAGTCAGGGCGTGTTCGAGTCGAGCTTGACTTTCAAAGACCAAGCTCGAGCTCGAGCTCGAGCTCAAAATCCGAGCTCGAGCTCGACTCGTCTTCTTGTCGAGCGGCTCGTCGAGCTTTGCTGTCGAGCTCCGATGTCGAGATCGTGATCCATCCGCTGGTTGTAGCGTCCGTCCTCAAGCTCGTCGTCGTCGTTGCTTCTACCGCCAAGATCATCGTCATGCTCTAGTCGGGAATCAAGCCGTTCGACTCCAAGACGGATCACAGTCCCACAGGAGAAGGGCCTTGGCCACCGAGGCTACGACCGAGGCTACGATAGAGGCGGTGTGCGAGGCAGAGGAATCAGAAACATTAGAGCCGAGCACATCGACGAGGAATCCGGCGATGCCTCTACAAATGCAGCTGTATATCTCAAAGATCTAAATGATGACACAATTCATCGACTCAAGGATTAGCCCCACCTCCATTCCGTCAGCATATGGCCGAATCTGCATTAACAGCTCGAGCAGATCTTGCATCTTCACCAACATCTCGAGATCACCTTCGATTGAATTGACGGAGAAGGAGGAAGAGAGGACGGAGCGGTAAACGAGCTCGTCGAGCTCTCATCGTCGTCCCGTCGAGCTCATCGAGCTCTCTTCCTTCTCCCGTCGTCCCGGGTGGCCTCGTCGAGCTCGTCCCTTCATCTGCCGTCGAGATCATCCTCAAGATCAAAATTTGACTCGTTTGCACCCCTAGCTCTCTCTCCTTTCACTTTCATAGTGTGACTCGGAGTGAATCCCACTACATAGTTCAGAGAGACTTCTGCCACATCCAGGTGCAGTTTCTCCTCCTCTTCAGATCTGCTCCCACCTCCCTCATCTTCACAGACAAGGAGAACCTGAAGAGTTTGGTTCTTGCACCTATGCCCCGGCATGTACTTATCATCACATCTAAAGCACAACCCCTTTGGCCATCTTATCCTGCATCTCCTTCTTTGTCAACTTTTTGAATTATCCCCCATTCCCCCCTCCAGTTTTCTCCTTTGGTGCTTCCATCAGACCCCCTGACGCCGCTCCTTTTGATGGTAAGAATGTGGTAGTCATCTTGTATGATCCCTCTGAGTAGTTCCCTCGAGCTCCTCTTTTTGATTTCTTCTTATCTTCCACCAACTGCACCAGATCCATAGCCTTTCCAAGGTTCATCCGCTCCAGCACCCTGACTGCTATTCGTATCTCCGATTTTAGACCCTTCATGAAGTTCCCTTCCAAGGCTGACTCTGAAATGTGATCCAATCTGCTAACCAAGTACTCGAACATGTCCCGGTAGTCTGCCACAGTCCCCTCCTAAGTCAAAGCAAAGAATTACTCATAAAATTCTCCTCCCCCATCGGCTCGAAAACGCTCCAATAAACAATCTTTGAACTCTCTCCAGCTCCGTATGGGCTCCCTCCTGTCACACCACTACTGCTAGGCCAAGGCTTTTCCTTCCAAACACAATCTCGCCGCCGTCAATTTCTCTTCCTCTATCAACCCATTGACAGTGAAGTAATGTTCCACCTTGTAGATCCAGCCATAGCCGTCTTCACCCTCAAAGACAGGCATCTTCAACTTTCTCACCCGTGGGTCTCCCCTGTGCTCCCCAACTGTCATGATCTTCTCTCCGACGATTATACTCGAACCCTTCATCATATTCCCCTCTTCTCCCTTCAAAATCAGCACCCCGGCGATGAAATTTTTTTCTTCTCCCGACGAATCAGTACCCCTCCGGCCATTTCCCAAACTCATCTCCACTCTAGAAAGTGGCTCTAGAGGTGGCATGTCGTCCTCCCCCCCTCAATGATCTCCACTTCCGGATTTCTCCTCCCCCTAAACGGGTTCAAATTTCCTCCTACGCCATGGCCACCGATGTGGTCTCTCTTGCTTCTCTCTTGCTTCTGATATCGTAGGATTTGTCTTCAACTCCAACAATTTCTTCAACATTTCTTCCATCACCACGAATTTCCCCTCTATCATTTCATTGTTGGAGGTGATTTGAGTTTGAAAGTCAAAGAACTTTTCCTCCAACTCTGATTTTAGTTGACCGATGATCTCGCCTTCCAAGACCTCTACCTTCTTCCCGGCCATCAATCTTCCCAAGAATCACAAAAATCATCTTTCGGAAAAAAAAAAATCCGCTGAAATTTCAGGATTTCAACCACCAACGGTCCCAAATCAATGCTCTGATACCAGATTGATAGTAAATACTTGAGTTCGCAAGTAACCCTAAGGTAATACTTGAGTTCGCAAGCAAACCTAGTCAAAATTAGTATAAAAACAGAGGGATAACTGCTGTTCACAGCAGAAAAACACCACTCACGCAGCAGATTTTGCACCAAAACAGTGGAAAATAGGGAGGGAAAAAAAAGATTTTACTAGTAGATGCAAGAAAACAATGTAAGATACAATGTTCTTCAATTCGATAGGAAGAACAACTCTCCAAAACTCTCTAGCAACGCCTAGAGCCCCAAACCATAAGGAGATCTCAAAATTTCTGTCAATCTCAAGATGAAACCCTAACTCACACCTTAACTCCTAATTAAAGCAAAAAATACTCATTAGAAATCCCTAAACAGCCCCTTAATTCACACAAAGCTCATTACATTAATTGATTGGACCCACAAGGGCCGGCGACATAACAAAAACCTTCCCACAAACCTAGCAACATGGGTTAAAGTTTGGATGCAACTCTTAATCATTAGTTGCAAAACTTGTAGTAGCCAAGGTATATCTGCTAATAATCTACTTCCTATAAATGTACATTGGAAGATTAAAAGCAGATGAATTTCAATGTATGCATCATATAGTGCGAGTAATAATTGACTATAGGAAATATCGACCTAGGCCAGAAATCCAAACTAGACGGAATACCAGCCAAAAGATCAATGGACTTCAGCCTTACCAAGAAAGCTTTAATATCACCATACCACACCAATGTAACAAACTTATAAGGAATTTAGGCGATAAATTGATAAGGACGATGCCTTACAAGTCTTCTACCCATATTAAAAATTAATTTATTATTTTCAGCACTAAAACAAATCCAACACAGAATCAAATCACATTTAGTTTCAAGTATTGGGTGTTTTATTCGAGTAATCCAAGCTCCTCTTTTTTAGGAGAACATCACTGTCATTAATTGCAGCTTGTAGGATCGTAGGAAAGTCATGTTCCCTCTATTTTCTCATTTGCATACAAGGGTCTTCCCAATGTGGGGTAAAATTTTCTTGGTAGTTCGCTCCAACGATTGCTTTTATTTTCCTAAGGATAAGTTCTTCATGTTAAAATTCCAAGACATAATACTTGAAGTTGAAGAAGCGCACCGCCCAAGCCATTTAATGGAGCAGAAGAAGCACATTATCTAGCATTTTGCCGCTTGATATTTTAGGATCTTCCTTAGCAGTTCATTCAGTCTATTATTTCTAATTTCCTAAGGACAAGATCTCTAGGTTAAAATTCCATGAAATGGGACTCGTAGTGGAAGAAGCACATTACATATTTGTATTGTATTGTAGATCAAATGCATGGATTATCAATGGGATAAGTCAGATACCATGCAAGATGGAGATCACATGCAGTTAATGTTGTAGCAATAAGGTACACAATCAAGCAGTAATACAACGTGAGCATAAAGTGAGCAGTGAGGATGCATGTAATAAATCAATGAGGATGGGTTAGGAAGACAAAATAGTTGATGCTCATGAGAAATTTACACTTGCTTTGATATCAAATTGATAAAGAAAAAGCACAATGAGAAAAAATTAAAAAATTTGGAATTAGAAAAAACTTCATAGATTAAGGGAAGAAAGTGATAAAGAACTTAAGACAAACGAATGCTTAAATAGGAAGGATGCAAAAGAGTCGGACAAAACTACGAGAAAATGCTAGAGAAGATAGAACCCTGATAGGGTAGGTAGCAGAAAACTTTATAAATTAATTTATCATCTAATCATTCTTAATACATGAGTGGAGCTCCTAAACATAGACTAAAGGCCCTAACGTAAAATATGTTAAAACTAAAAAAAAAGGTGATAAAAATCTTTTATATAAGAAATATGCTTTAAAATATGTCTATCTACAAATAATAATCCAATATCACTTCATGCAAAATGTAAACAAACAACATTGAATGTAAGATTCTTTCGTAATTAAAGAACAAACTAATGAAATTTCATAAATAGCCATGCCTTGTAAAATACGACAAAGGATAGCCCTTACATATCTAAATATATTAAAACTAATAAAAAAGAAATAAAATATACCTATTTAGTAGCTCAAAATAATGCAAGTTCACTTCATGTGAAATCCAAGCAAACAATATTGACTGTGAGATTCTTTCCAATTAAAGAACAAATGATAAAATTTCACAAATAGTCATGTTTGGTAAAGTATGACAAAGGATGGAAAAAATGGTACAGGATCAAATAACTGCAACAGCTTCAACCTAAAAAAATGCGCAAATCCTTACTATAAGACCAAAGGCCAATCTTCACTACTTTAAAGGCAATCAGAACCGAAAACAAAGGAGACCATAAGGTAATCAAATAAAGTCATGGGTCCTGAAACTCTGGGCCTACAGCGAATTACAATTCAAATGAAGGCGTGCTCACGAGTATCAAGAAATTTTAGAACCCCACAACGCCCGTAATTGTTTCTTTTTATAAATTGTGTCACCTTGCTAAGAGAGAATCCCATAGAAACTAAATCATAAGTTCCCTTAAGAATAAACAAAATAAGCAACTTTGTTGTATTGATTGCATGCTCATTTACACAATTACCTGGCTAACAATTCCACTATCAAGCATCCAGTCCCAAGGGATATGAAAATTTTTATATCGCTCTGTGGCCCCCTCCCGCACACGTGAAAGATTAAATATTCCATGCTCTAATCTGCAAATGAACAACAATAACAAATTTAAAAAATTGTCAAACTTGTTAGAACGCTGAGAAAAAAATAGAATTTTTTGTACTTTTCCAATAGGCTCTGCATCTTTTTGATGGCATACGAACAGGGCTGTCGAGGATCATCGCGGAAGGACGACGCCTCTAACTCTAGCTTCCGAAGATCGCAGTACCCAAACGCCGCTTCACGCATTGCATCCGACTTTGCCTCCGGCCAATCAAAGTGCTTCAAAACTGCTCTCTCGTCCACCTATATCATCAATCCCCCAAATCTCATCAATTTTTTTGACTTCAAATCATTCTAACAAAAGCTTTTAGAAGTTTTAAGTACCAGGAAGGAGAGTTCGTCGTCTAGCCATTTGACGAAGGAGACGAGATCCTCGATGTTGGAGAATGCCGCATTCTCTACTTCCTTTATCAAGAACCTTATGAAATCGCCCTGCGTCTCCACCTCTGTCTTAATCTGCAGCCAGAAAACAGAATAGGGAACAATTAAAGAATTTCTTATCCCGATTATCAACAGCAAGCTGTAAAATCAGTGATCAACCAAGGGAAATGGTGGACATGAACCAATCTGATAACCTTTTGATTGCATAAATTTAAATTTATTGACAAACAAAAACAATTTGTTCATGCATTGCCCATTAATTATCAAACAGAAAATGAGTTACATATTAACAAAAAGTTGTAGATAAATGATCATTAAACGCATTAATAAATTTTTTAATTTAAGAATACATGATCTTTTAAGGAATAAAATTTTCTTTTTTAATGATAAAATCAGATTTTGATTCCAAAAGGCTGGTAACAATTTTCATTTTCAATGAAAATAAAATATATTTCATGATTTTTTACAAGTAAAATATGAAGAAATATTTTTTTGTGCATTCATAAATAAACACAAATTTAAAATTTATTTTTTGTATTTCGACTTATTTTAAAACTGTCAAAATTTTTATGCATTCATAAATTTAGTACGACGTAGAAGCGAGGGAAACTTCAATAGGAGGGACGGCGACTAGAACTTACAGCTAGTAGGTGAGCCGATCGGTTCTCTATCTCTCCGATCATGTTCCTGACGTTTGCCGCAGGTGGCGCATCGCTGACACCACCGGCCGAATCCCTTTTTGTGTCCCGCCTCATAAACGAGTGGTAAAACTCAACCACCTCAGGCACTCGCCTCACCGATGTTGCCCCCGACTTCACTCCCTTCATTGCCGCCGTAGCCGGAGGAGGTGGCGGCGGTGGAGGTGGAGGCGCCGGAATTGATGTAACTGATGCATGATTAGGAACTGCATTTCTCTTTTCTGAGATAGTTGTGGAGCTGTACGACGAAGTAGACGGTAAGGGAGGGGGCTTCGGAACCCTTGGGGGGCGGGGTTTTGAGATATCATCCCTTTGTTGTTGCATCTGATAAATTTCCTTGTCCTCCCCTTTCCCATCATTCACAGCAGGTTTGGATACCTCTTGATAGGACGCAATGTCGGTGGATTTGGAGGATTTACGGATGTTCTTGAGCAGTATCGACCTCGCAGAGGCGTCTATTAATCCCTGGAACCGTGACGACGACGTGCAATCTTCTATCTCAACGGCTCCACTACACAATCGCCTCAACTCACCCTGCTGATCTGATACTGTCCGCTTAAGTTCTTCGATCTCCGCTTCCTTCTTTCTTCCCTCCTCCTCAAACTCCCGAATCTTGGCGAGTAGAGCTGCCACCTCCATTCTCAGAACCCGATTCTCAGCCTCCAACCCCTCAGCCCCTTTTTTAATCCGATCCAGCTCGTCGTTCTTCGCTGTAACCTCTTTCTCCAAAAACGGCACTAAGGCGACCGTCTCCTTGAGTATCTTCTGCTCGAGAAGCTCTGTTCTGAGGCGAGACTCCTTTTCTTGGAGCTCTTCAACAAGGCGGATGAGATCGGCAACGTCGGGAGGGCGGGGCTGCACTTGCGCGGAGGAACGAGGGAAATAGACCCCAAACGAGCGGGAGAAAACTGATGCCTTGCCGTTGGAGAGCTGGCCGACACCTTTGAACGTGCTCGGGGAAGAAGATGATCGCCTAGAAGCTTCCAGTTTCGGCGCTGCGGGACTCTTCTGAAGCCCCATCACGGCCTTCACCTTTCCAGCCACCATCTAAGTGTCGCTCCTTTTCTACTTTGTTCTTCTCACTCCTAGAGCATCTCTCCGGCGAAGTCGGCAAGCTTTGGCCTTTACCCTTTAGCTTTGTTTAAGCTAAAGCGGGAGGAGCAAGGAGAGGAGCTCGGGGGTCGAGGAACGGTCGTCTTTTTGGATCCAAGTTTGAAATGAGAAGGGCGTGATGAAGAGAAAAGAGGAACAGGTTACAGGTTGTGATGTGGTCCGTAGGATGTGTTTAGTAAAATGGTTTCCATGCGATCTATTGACCGTTGGAATAGTGAGCACTGTCGAAGTGTTTTGTCTTTGGGCGGACGAAAGGGTATTCCGCGGGTATCCAGAACAACCACCTGATGGAAATAATTCCGTACGCTATAAAAAGGTTACGAATCCTCTGTTTGGTTAGAATAGCGAATACTAATTTTTATATGGGTGAACTGTGAACATAAGTTAAATTCGATTTGCAGGAGAAGTTTATTTACGTGAATTCTAAAATTTTAAGTATTTCATTCTGAGTAAAATAAATTAGACGTGTTTTTAAGAGATTTTGAATATAAAAAAAATATATAATGTAAAAATATGTGTTAGTAGTTTGAAGTTATTTAAATGAGTATAAATAATAGTTAGTTTTTTTTTTTATTTAGTTTGAAGTAAAATGAAGTTTCAAGATAATGTCGGTGAAGTTCTTTAAAAGACGATTTTAGTGGTTGGTGGCTATAGACAGTGGTGGTCGAGAGAGTTGTGGAGGCCGAACGAAATTATCGCGGCTTGCCGGATTCAATTTCGAGCGGAGGAGCAACCGAGCAAGTGAGCAACCCAACAGGCAACAGGACAGCGGTCTCGTCGTGCCTTCGGCCTGAGTCCATCAAACAACGAACAAATCGGTTACAAGTCGGTTGGGAGGCACGAACATTGAACAGGACGGCGGTCTGGTCGTCCCTACAACATTCGTCCGTCGGCTTGGGAGGTGTGAACAGGGCGGCCAAAGGCATAGGAGAAAACGAGGTGTGCGTGCCCTAATCGTCCCTATCGTGTCGCTGCCTAGCTGGGAGGCGAATGAGCAAATCCCTGGAGCACGAGCACTCGGTTTCTCTATTTATCGAGGGAAAATTTTAGAAAGAAGGGATTTATTTTAAAGCCAGTATGTCGTTTCCAATTTACCGAGGGGTGGCACGTGCATATTTTAAATACATATTCTCATATAACTTTTTGTGTTGTTTTATATCATATTTCCAATACAGTGCATATTTTCAATACTTGCAACGAACACTCTTTAATTTCAATTTGATTTCATTAGAAATATTAAATAAAAAATTTGGTTCGACTTAATTTATATTAAAAAAATTATGAATGAGGTTCTGTTTGGGACAATTTTTTTATTATTTTTCAAAATAGTTTTTCAGTACAAAATTCTTTTGAACTAAAAATTTACGAAATCGGAAATATAGTTAAATTAAACAATGTAAAAAATTTTTGTTGCAACTCTATTAAAAAATAAATATGAGTTGACCCAAAAAATTAAGTAAGGTTTTAACTTCTAGTTGTTTAACTTTAATTATTGTAATCAGTTCAATTTGGTCCAAAGTCAGTATCAATTTCAAACCAAACCAAGCGGTGTGGACGCTAATTTTGGAATTGAAATCTTTGATAGAACAACAAAAATTTATTTATGTTTGAGAGATTAACAACCTAACTTTAAAATAATATATTAATTAAGATTGGCATTCTCAAAATCAAGAAAAATTCGCACATGATGTACAGAATTTGTTATTGTTATTCAATTTAGATTTGACTATGAGTACTGTCTGAATTTTTCTAGTTTTTTTTTTTTTGGAAAATTAGAGGCAAAGCCTAAATTTCATTAAAAGAAGAAGATAATTATATGTGTAAAAAATTTCAAAATCGAGGAAACTCCCTCAACGGTGACGAAAATGCTCAACAACAAAGAGCAAAAAGAAAATTACGCATGTCAAAAATAAACTCCTAAAAAATCAGGAGCCCCATAAAAGACAAGGGGTGGGCTCAGGAAAAAAGACGTTGCAATAAATAAGCTTTCCCGCATAATCCCCCGGTTACTGAAATGCCATCCAAAATAAGTTGCAAAATAATTGTCATCCAATGGGGATAGAGATAGAAACCTCTACATCATTGCCCTGCGGTCTAAGAAAAAAATCAGCAGAACAGTCCAAAAAAAAAAAAAAGAGTTTCCGAAAACATCCAGTTCAGGAAGTAAGAGCTTCCATCATGAAAGTAAAGCAGCCAGTTTGTCCCAATAATTCCAATTCTCAATTTTCAACCTAATAGCATTTTTAACAGTCCTCTGAACAGTAGAAAAACTCTTAATATTAGTAGAAATTTTTTTGTCATTCCTCTCCCTCTAAATATAATAGATAGATGTACAAAGAGTAATCATATTATAATATTTCTTGCTCCCTATGATATAATTAAGGTCCTCAATAAATTCCACAACTTGGCTGAGATTCGGACTCAAGATAATGGTGTAAGAGAAGTCACAATCAAAGAAAAGATGAAATATACTTACTGGTTTGGTATTGCACAAGCAGCAAATAGGATTAACCTCAATGTTCCACCTTATAAGAGAATCAGCCGTCTTAAGGCCCCCGAAAAAGCATAATCATCCATAAAATGAGTACCGCAACGCACAAGGCTTATGCCATACATCTTTATGCCAAAAAAACTTCATTCTCCATCTTATAATAGTCTTGCAAATAAGAATTAAATTTAGCTTTAATACCATTCAACCAAGTTAAACAGCTATATTATAAAATTAAAAATAGAAGACAAAAAAAAAGTACATAAAAGTTCTAAGATTTCATTAGACGAATGAGAAAATAGGTCTTTCATATCCAAAGCATTACTAGTTTGGAGAAATTATTCTGTGCGGTCACCTAATGTCATCCATAGGAGAATCAGGATACATCACGTCATTTTTTTGTTGAGTACCACTGCGTACCAGGTAACGAGGCGCATCCTGATTCACCTCCGGACAGTCTGGTGACCCGCACAGAATAATTTTCCCCTCCTTTGACCTCCTATTTATATATTCACGAAAAGACTTTCACATAACAAGAAACACTATTAGATTATATGGGATGTGTAGCAAAAATGTAATAAATCTATTAAACCACATATGCTTATGATTTAAACCACATGCACCAAATCTACATAAAATATAGTACTCAAGCATGATAAGAATGATGATTGAGACATACAATGATATATGTGCATTATTTTATGATTAATTTCAATTAAAAAAATCGCATAGCACTCAATCTGCAGCTAAGTCACATCATATACAAGCGACTCAATAAATTAAGCAAATCAGTAGACTATAAATGTAAATTTAAGTGAAATTGGTAAGAGCGCAATATATTTTATATAGTTCAACCAATAGCCAAATTCAAGCCCTCCATTTACTTAGTATTCCACTAGTTATCCTTAGGAAATTCCTTCACTCCTTGAGCTAGTGGAGAAATTATCATGACCATCTTTATTTAAGGGCAAGTGTATCCACTTCTTGTTTTGAAAAGATCACCTCATAATGATCTTTACAACCAAGGTAAAATTAAGAGTTGATGATTTTTTTTTTCTTAATTGAATTTGATGTTCCCATGCATAAATGAAAAATATTTAGGGTACTTTTGTAAACCTTCAGTTTGTTCTTAACACAAAAAAAAATCCTAACTTTGCCGCTGTAGATAAAGAAAGTAAAACAAATCTTCATGCTATAATATTTGCATAATGAAATTTATAAATATATCAACTTAAGTCAAACAAAATATGATATCATTTCATACAAACAATTCTAGAAATTACTCTATGTGAATATCAATATAGGCAAATGAACTTATAACTAACTCAAATTAAGGGTAGAATGTTGTTAGATAAACATGCTATAAACTCCCTTTGGTGCATCACTTTGTGTGTTAAATATTTTAGAAAGTATGCATTATTTGACTACTTCTAATGTAATCTACAAATTTTTATTCTTTGCGTTGGTTTGAAAATTCATTTTTTAGTGAAAATGAGTAAGAGTTGGATAAAAAAATTCAAACGAAGTAATTATTACATTAAAGTATTGATATTTTTTTGAATTTGCATGTTCGAGCAAAAATTTAGCAAAGAAAATTGTATTTTAGTACAAAGATGTCATAGTGCACTTAATCTTTAATATGTCAAAGTGCACTTAATCTCTAAGGAATTATTTGTTGGATATGTTGTATAGAATTGACATGAGGAGAAACATAGTAGTGTAAGGATGATTTGGGAGAGTCTAAATGATTAGAAGGTCTCTTTGTTCAGATCATCCAGGATGATAAGATATCATCCTGTACGATTAGTTCAAATCGTCGAATATCGTCCAAACCATTGCCCTGAATGGATGTTTGTATGATGGAAAAATAACTAGATCGTTCGGGCTGATTAGTACAAAATATCACATATTCTCCAGAACATCACCCTGGATAGATGTTTGGATAATAAAAAAAATAGCTTGATCATCCAAAATGATTTTGAATCATCCTGGACGATTAGTTAAAATAACTACATATCATCCAGAGCATCATTCAGGTTGTTCAGGAAGAACTAAGGTTTGTTTAACTGATCATCCAGGTTGATCTTGTGATTGTTCAGGGTGATATGATCAAGCAATCAAACCTTAATTGATTTTCTTAATTACCAAACTAATATAGGCATAATTGTAGTGCATCATCTAGGATGATGTCCAAAAATAAAATATGCCTAAAAGGTTATAGCGACTGATTCTTTCTGATTTGATCTTATCATCCCGGACGATGCTAATATCATCGAGAACAATTTTCTTAATTGTGGTTGCCTTAACCAGGATGCCCTAATTAGGATTTTTATTTTTAATTGATCGTCCATAATGATTTGGGATCGTCCTGGATGATATGATTGAAAATAAAAAAACTCTAAAACAGTCAAAAAATTTCCCCCAACTATATGTGTGCAAGGTTACTTAGCATCATAACCTACATTATTACAATGGACTCAAGAGAAGGTAAAAGATACTTGACATATATTATAAACTGACTCAGTCCTAATTTATCCAATCTTGAGCTAGTTTTTATTTACAATTTGATCTTGTGGATCTAAAATATTAGTAAGCAAGGCAGATGTAGAAAAATAAAAGTAATAGAAAT